GAAGTTGGCTTCTCTGTCTCTTCTTTCTCAACCAGGCTGGATTTGGGAAATGGGTGCTAACAAGTTAGCATCTCCATTCCTTTAGCTGCTATTTATTGTACCAGGTTCTCTCACTGACTTCCCACAGAGCAGGCAGCCTACTCTCTGCTCTGTGTAATTGTGCAGTAAGGTATTATTGCTGCCACACCAATAATGACCAAAATAGTAGTGGTGTAAACCAAATGAAAGTGTATTTCTGTCTTAGGCAATTACAGTCAGAGCACAAGCAGCCAAGGGTTCTATGGAATCAGAAACCTCAACTTTTCAATGTTGTTTCTCTGCCCTTCCCTCTTGGTCTCAGGTGGCTGGTCTAGCTTCTATTACCACATCTGTATTCCAGCAGACGTGAGGGGCAGGGCCTTCTTACAAACGGCATGACCTGTAAGTTACATACATCATGTCCACTCACATCCCATTGGCCATAATCCAGCCATACAGCCACATCTAGCTGTAAGGGAGGCGGATAAATGTGCTTTTTATCTGGGTGGACATATGCCCAACTGAAACTTCCATTATTTTAGGGGAAAAAAATCGAACTCTTGAACTGGAAGGTTTTCTCCACCTCATCACAAAAAGCTCCAGAAGAAAATTACTTGGCTAAATACATTTTGCCTCAGTGACCAGAAGCTAAATGTATAGAGAAAGAGTTCCAGCCGAATCAGGGGTACTTACACAGAAAAACTAAGATCATGTTCTTATACAACTATAGTAGTTATCATGGCTTACTTTGCTAAGAATCATTATCTTCCAATTATTCCACACACAACTTTCAGTACTTTTTGGAAGCAGCAGTAGTCTATACACTAGTTTTTGAGTTGACTTCTCCATCTTCTTGGGTCACTGACAGTCCTAAATAATGAATATTATGTCCCAAGGCACCTGTGGAATTAGTGCTGTATGGCTAGATCCATCCAGATCTAGCCATAACATAACAATATAATGTTCAGTAATTTTGAACAGCCTATGACTTACATGACTACCCTTAAAATGGTCCCCATTAGCTTAGCTAAACATTCCTTTGCTAGGAAAAATTGTGTGGTGGTAAAAGAAGCTAAAGATTAATCTATGAAAAGGACACCTCTAATTTTTTCTTCCCACAGATGTTTCCCAACTTTGAAATAAAGCAGATCTATGTTTTGTTGATTCAAAGTTCACCAGTTCCTTTCTTTTTAATCTGTTGTTTATCCAGTTACTTCCACCTAGCTCCTTCAGTTTCCCTTTCCCTCACTCAGAAATACAGAACGCCTAGGGAGTCTTGTTTACTTTCTTAGACACCCTTTCATTTAACAACACTGCTATTCTTCAAAGCAGTCGATCTCTCCATTTCCTTCTGGTCAAATAAAATAATTTTATTTATTACTTTTTTTTTTGCATTGAGGACAAGTCAATCAGATTAAGCTGTCTCCTAAATTCTTTTGAGAAAGGCAAGTTGGCAGTCATGGTCATGGGCATCCCCTCATTCAAAACAGTTGTCTGCTTGTGTATCTGGAGAAACCTGCACAGTTTGCTGAGGTCATGGCATTTTACTGGGTTGTTTTAACTTAGCATGATATGCACAATATCTTGCCAGTAGCACCAATGAGAATTTTGTGGAGAGCCTGGTAGTTTTTTACGTTAACCTCTAATGTTACCTATCTCCCTCAATCCCTGCTTTTATTTTCATCATCATTGTCCAATTCCCTTTCAGTAGTCTACTTTGAATCTCCCATTAATTTATTAAAATCCTGCAATTCTTTTTGCATTTATTGTTGGCCCGTGCAACCTCTAGGGAGTAACATGTTTACTGTCAAATATGTTAAAGTTTACTCTGTTTTAGTTCATCCTGCAGAGTATCTCCTATAAATTACAAAGAAAAGTCTTCTAGCTGTAACATTGAGGGATTTGATGGAATAAGTTCAGCTGGAGATTTCACAACACAATATTTAGCAGCTGCAAAGGAAAAGAAGACAAAGCTGCCAGGTTATCCCCAGGAAATCCCAAGACACATATTTTTAACATTTGCATTCTTATTTACATAAATTTGTATGTTTCATTCAAAAGGCACTGACTCCAATTATGTAAAATAAAACACTCGATTTCTCTTTATCTGACGGGTAGATTACCACATATTCTAGGCTTGCTTGCCTGTTGCCCAGAGTGATTTCTCTGGCTTCTTCCTTTCTGCTCCAAGAGTTTCTCCCCATTATGCCTACCTTCTCATCACAACCATTAAGGAAAAGAGTTATCATTTGGTTGTAGGATTTGAGTTGGCTCCAAAATATTATTCTCTATTATGTGCTCTCATTGAAATCCTGTTTTCCAATTGTGGGTTTTCACAAGACACTCCCTTCCCCCACAACAACAACAAAAAATGCTGGTCCCTGATTCAGCTTGGAGAATCACTGTTTGGGTGGTGAAAATCCCATCTTGAGCCAGCTTTCAGTCTTACACCCAAAATTTCCCGGTAGTGAGGAAGATAGTTTAGATTCTGGGCAGATTAACCATAGGTTTCAACTATCCACCCCAAATGCTGCCTTCCATGGGCCCCTATAATTATAGGTTGACTCTGCTTACATTTTTTAGTGTCATTTCTCCCCTCCAGGTAGATGAATATCAGAGCTGACTGCAAAATAAATTCATTAGAGTAATTTATAGCAACTATATTAAGCCCAGAAGCTAGAGCAATGAGAAAAGAGAGCAAGAGCGTCCTTCGGGAGCCATCTCACTCAACCCAGAACAGTCCTGGTGACACCGTACAGAAAGCCCATCTGCTAACTCTGCCCCAGTGGGGAAGGAGGGCCCGAGAATCACACGGAGAGACAATATCACGGAACCATGGATGGTTATACTGTACTAAATTCACTTCCACTCTCTGAAAAGCATTTCAAAAAGCCACTCCCTAACATCCATATACTGCTGCTTCTGTTCCTCATCATGCCCAGGAAACCACGGAGTAAACTCAGGACCACATATTGAATTGAAATGAAATTTAGTCAAGCGACCCCTCAGGGATTCATTGACTTTTGACCTTTGCCTTTGAAAAGGCTTCTCTCCGTCTCCACAGACAAGCTGGTGATCTGTTTATGTTTAGAGGCTACATAAACAATGTCAAGATACGGGGGCTAGAGGGGACAGTCATGGAGGCAAGGCCGTGAATATTGGAACAGTTAGCAACACATTCTGTGACATCCAGGGTGTGTTTTGTTGTTGGTCGGTTGCTTTAATCTTTGGGCGAAAGGATATTCCTCTTACTTGGAACTGAAGTCAGCAGAAGGGAAGTGCAGACCTCACCAAACACAAAGTAGAGAAACACAGTCCCAAGAAACTTGGGTTGCTCCCCTGCTACGCCTGCAAAATGTCAGCCTCGCTGACAGCACAGATAGGCGGCTTCTGCTTCACCCGGGATTTCACACTCCGCATACAGCTGCCTTGGCAGGACTTGTGGCCAAGGCAAAATTACCAGGAATTAGCTAGGAAAACAGATTCACTTCCTGTAAAAACTGCAAACCCCGCCCCCCTTCCCCCATGCCCCGCCTCTGGTTCCACCCACGTATATCTATAGGAACACTATGTAAAGAATTTTTATTTGTTTGTTTTTGGCTTTTCCTGGCAGTGACTATGTTTCATACTAGATATTGGATTGTGTGTGGTCCGGAGATGTACTGCAATGGCAAAGGACAGGAAGGTGGTGAGAATCCCAGGGACACTGTGGTCCTTCTGTTAAGGTATACCTGGAAAGTATGCTTGATCTACTCATCAGAGTTTGGTTTCTCTTTCTGAAATACAACACCTCCTTCTTCTATTTCTTGAGATAAGCAAATTGGGGATGTAGTTTCTCTAAGTTTACTAGTTAGCTTTTCATTTATTCATGTATTCAATTCATTTGCATAACTCCTTGAGTGCTTGAATACATAGTGGACAAAATAGGTAAAAAAATTTTTAAAAGATTCCTTGCTCTTGTAGATTTATATTAAATTATTTAGGCAGGACACGGTGGCTCATGTCTGTAATCCTAGCACTTTGGAAGGCTGAGGTGGGTGGATGGCCTGAGCTCAGGAGTTCGAGACCAGCCTGAGCAACATGGTGAAACCCCGTCTTTACTAAAAATACAAAAAATTAGCCGGGTGTGATGCCACACGCCTGTAGTTCCAGCTACTTGGAAAGCTGAGGCATGAGAATTGCTTAAACCCAGGAGGCGGAGGTTGTAGTGAACCAAGATCGCACCACTGCACTCCAGCCTAGGTGACAGAGCGAGACTCTGACTCCAAAAATATATATATAAACAAATAAATTATTTTATCTTTGCGACAGCCCCATGAGGCAGGTACCATTATGATGAGTTTTTGTTTGATTGGATCTTTTTGTTTTTTTTTTAAGCAGGGGACTTGCTCAAGTCACACAGCCCATGAATGGCAGACCTGTGACTTGAAGCCAGGTAGGCTGGCTTCAGAGAGCCCCACACTCTTCCTTTAGGGTGCTATGCTCCCCGATGGGACTGATGGCTGTGATTGCAGGTCCAGAAGAGGAGCAGTTCAAGCATATACCTGTAGTTTCTAGAGGCAAAATCTTTAAGTCAGCAAGATAGTTTAAAAGATAAATATTGTATAGTTAGTATTGTGGCTGATTTCCACATGAAGATGTCAGTGACTAAAAGCACCCTCTTTCTTATAAGTTCCCATGGGCAGAGGAAGGTGAATCAGAGTGGAGAGATCAGAAGAGTGAAGGAAGATGGGGAGGATGTCATTGGAATTGGTGTGGAGGCAGACACTGAGGACAGGGACTCTCGGATCAAAGTTTTCTCAGGCTCAACATTTTGCCTGAGAAAGTCCTACTAAGGCCAACTAAATAGTACAAACTTTGAATTATATCAGTTACTTTTATGACATCAATTTTATTATTTCACCGAAATAGCTCAAGGCAAAAAGAAATAACAGCCAATTGACTCGAATCATACTGTCTAATGAAAGTAGGTTCATTCTTACTTTGCCTATTGGCTTCTCAATCAGAGGGCTTGGAAAGCAAACTGGAGTTATACTGCCATACATGGAAGGTTTCCATTGCTGTTCCTGCAAGAAAGGAAACAGAGAAAGGGAAATTTCAGGGATGTGGCTGACTTTCCTGCTGCATGGATCCATTTTCCTGTTACAACAGTGCCTCAAGCATTTCAACTTGATAGTTGTCACTTGAAATATTTGAGTCAGCATTTTTGCATGATCTCTTTAGTTTGCGGTCTGTGCAAACTCATTTAACCTTGTTCAGGGACACCATTTATGACATTTTTAAGGCATTAATACATACATGTTGACATACATTCAGAATATGTTCACCTCTTAAGATATCTTTCTAGAACATGGATCAGACTACGTGAATCTTTTTAAAAATAACTTTACTAATACATCATTGCATAAAAACAATGACCTGACCAGGCGCGGTGGCCCACGCATTTAATCCTAGCACTTTGGGAAGCCAAGGTGGGCAGAACACTTGAGGTCAGGAGTTCAAAACCAACCTGGCCAACATGGCAAAACCCTGTCTCTACTAAAAATACAAAAATTAGCCAGGTGTGTAATTCCAGCTACTCGGGAGGCCGAGGCAAGAAAATTGCTTGAACCAGGAGGCAGAGGTTGCAGTGTGCCGGGACTGTGCCCCTGCACTCCAGCCTGGGCAACAGAGTAAGACTCCGTCTCAAAGCAAACAAACAAACAAACAAGCAAGTGACCTCATGTAACCCTCTGGTTTCCAAATCTTTGATGCCATATGGGATAATTTCCAAAGTACTCTACCTGCTATTTAGAGCCTTCCCAAAGAGTCTCTGCTTTTTCAGTTTTGACTCTGCCCTATGGTTTACCCTAAATCTCAAGTCACATTGGTCCATGTTATTTTCACGAATGTCTCCAATTTATGCTGTTCTGCTCATGATTCCTAAAATAACCTTTCTGCAATATCTGCCTGTGAATTCCTTCTTGTTCTATAAAGCCCAGCTCAAATTCCCTAGGAAACATTTCACTATTGTTCTCTACTTCTTACTAGAGTCAGAATAAATTTCTCCCTACCAAGTTCCATGGTACTATTATTGGAGTGTGCAGTGGTTTGAATGTGCACCCCATAAGTTTCTATGTCAGAAACATAATTACCATTGTAAAAATATTAAGAGACGAAGCCTTTAAGAGGTAACTAGTCTATCTGGGTTGTCCCCTCCTAAATAGATTAATGCTGTATTCATGGGGATGTGTTAAGTTATCTTTGGAGTAGGCTCCTGATAAAAGAATAAGTTCAACTCCCATTTTCTCTCTGTCTCATGTGCTCATTTCCTCTCACCTTCCACTATGGGAGGGCCCTCACCAGATACTGGTGCTATGGTCTTGGACTTTCCAGCCTCCAGAACCACGAGCCAAATAAATAGCTTCTCTGTATAAATTACCCAGTCTGTGGTATTCTGTTATAGCAGCAGAAAATTGATTAAGACAGAGTACTTGTCACTATCTGCTGTGAATGTGAGCTACAGAAGACAGAACTCATGCTTTAGTTACAACTTGTATACTTCACAATCTAAAACAGGTCTTATACAATGTATATACTCTTTTTTTTTCAATTAATTTTTTCTTTTGTCAGCCAGATCTTTTTCTTTATATCTTTACTAATTTCTAAAATATCCCGCTAGATCCAGCTCTCTCCAACCTCTAGTCCCAATTCTCACTACACACATTCACCCACTTTGTTCAGTCTTGGTAGAGAAGACATCAAGAGACTTGCAACTGGGGGGAAAAACTTAATAGTAGGTACCAATAAACCCCATTAATTAAAAATGAACTTCAAAAATTAATCAACAAATATTGACCCATCCCCACCCATACTGTCCATTAATTGGCTGTGTTTCTTGAGTAAAAGGAAGATTTCTTTTTCCTGTGGACTTAGCAAGGAATGGAGTATGACCCTCTGGAATCTCTACTCCTGCTGTTACTAATTATCTTCCCCTCTTCCCCTAAGGCAAATTACTTGTACTCTCAACCAGGGTGGCCCTGTCTACAAATGTGGTTTGTGTTATTTACACACATCTCGCAGGGTATTTTGAGACTAATTGCAATGATATCTGTGGTCTAGAAAGGCAAAGTATAATTCCTGGGGAACAGGCCCTATAGTTTACCCTCAGGAGAAGCCATTCAAATCACTAACTTCTTCCCAGGGTCTGAAAACAAGGGTTATATAGTTGGATCCTGAGAGATGTGGATTTCTGTCCATTAGGAGTTAAAGTGAGACTAGCAACTCATTTCACAGGTCATGTTCCAGCCATCAAAGAGTAATTACCATCAAACCCCAGTGGCACAGGTCCCAACAATATTAGTGAATGCACGAATGAAAGTTTCAAAGGATACCATTACCAACTCCCACCTTCCAAAGATAAAAAGATACTGAATGGCACCAGAGAAAAAGCCAAAATATATCAACTTAATGTTGTAACTTTTAAAAAATGAAAATAACTGTTCAGTATTGATGATTGTGAAACATGATTCTGTTTCAAGGAAGTCAACCTGCAGAGGCAGTAGATGAATCTGAAGAACTCTGCCCTTTACTCTGAGGCTCCTCCAGTTGCTATGGCAACATGTAACTAGTTTTCTTAGGGTGTTATGCAGCCTGATTTCCTTTAGACCAAACATTCCCCTGATACATTTACACTGGGTATACCTAAGACCAAACAACCCAGCAGTTGCAAAGCATAGATTTCTTACTTATACATTATTTACTTGGTGGGAAAACATAAGTCGGGGCCACACATAAAGGGGAACTTCTGAAACAGTGGGTTCATAGGCAAAACACAGAGCAATGAGGGACATATAGTTATTATTAAATAGCATTTCCCTTTTCCTATCCCCCATCCTCATTTCAGGCTTTTCCCACCTACAGGGTTTTGTATGTACTATGTGTATATATGTATATATGTATTAGAGATGTGGTGCATATGTATGTACACACACACACAGTCTGGGTGACTGATACTTAACAGTGTTTCACACTAACTCACCATTTGCTGAATGTGGGGGTGTGGGTGCTGAGGATGGACTTGGAATAAGGAGACTAGCAGGGAATTAGAGAAAAGTTGTTGAAGCCTCAGGCAAACCAGGCATCCTCTCCAGATCTCTGGAAAATGAGGGTAATTGTCCCCTTATCTTCTTCCCATAATAACTTCAGAGCTACAGAACTCCAAAAAGTGACAGAACTTCTCAGAAATCTCTACATGAAAGGTATCTGGTGTTACCTTTCCAGATTGGACCCTTAAAAGGAGACCAAAGAAGTTGTTATGGCCTGAACTGTAATTACTACCTTCAGTGTTTATCCTGATGCCTGAAATATAAGAGCAACTTCTGGTGCAAAAGGAAAGTGATAATCAAGGTTTTTAAGGAATAAAGATGTGATGATCATCTGGCAAGCTCAGCTAGTTGATTGAGCAGTGGGATCAGAACAAGTGGCATCTGCTTAAGGCTGAGTCACCAGGCAGCCCAAATTATCCTAATAATTCTGAAAGGAAGAATACCTCCTCTGGCAGAAGTCTTGATTTCATATTCCATATAAAGCAATGATGTCCACATCCATCCAATGCCTGCCCCTCCTCCCCACACCTCGAAGCTAGTAACAGTGTGTTCTGTTTTGAGATGGAAGCAGATTCTACCTTAAAGATTGCCATTCCCCTCTCCAACCTCACCCTGTCACTCATTATTTAAGGAGCAAAAATAACTGCACCCTGCATCGGTAGAGGGCTTTCCACAAACTGATGACAAAGCACTTTGGTTGCTCCTCACACTGCTCAAAGGCTACAAGCTCTTTCTGGGGCCTAGGATATGGAGGGAGCTGTGACCTTTCAAATACTCAGAGGAAATAGAGGAGAAAGAAAATTCCTAAAAGGGGATGTGATGTAGATAATCACCACTGTCCTGGCCCCTGCTCTCTCTGGCCCCTCAACCTGGTCGTTGAGACAAACCAACAGGGATTTGGGCTGGTCCCTCCCATCACAGCTGGAGTTCCTTCCTTGGAAGGGTCAAGCACACAGACAGACTTAAAGCTGAGGCGGCCTTGGGAAGGGAGGAGAACTGGGTGGAGGGCGATTAACTGAGTTGACTCACTCAGGCTTGACCAGACTTCCTCCCTTTTCTACGCTCGAGTACAGTTTTTGATGAACTTAAGTAAACTGTGCATACTGCTACACTTTCTTCCTTCCTTTTGGGCTATTATCACAGGCTTGCCAGCAGAAAGAAGGTCACAGGGGAGAATAAACTCACAAGCATTCTGGGTTTTCCGTTTATTTTGGCAGGATCTTGTTAGAGCCTGACCTGCTAATGTGTTCTTCAGCACCTCCCTCAGTACCCATTTCCCTTGAATGCTCTGCTAAATTTTTGCCTTTAAATTTCTGTTGCCTGGTGGTTTTACATGCTGATTTTTAAAATGTCCCTTGTGCGGTTACCTTCCTTCCCCATGTTTCATGCATCTTCAGCACCACCTGTACTTACCACAAGGCTACAATTACAAAGAACATTAAAACAAGAAACACTGCACATTAATGGGACTTCTGAAAGAAGACAGCACATTCCCTTCACCATACTCACATATCTTGGAGTTTTCTGCCAGGCTTTCTCCAAATGCATGTGTTTTAAGCTATAACACCACTTTGTATTAACCTCTTGTATCCACTTAGCATCACATATTACATATTTTTGTCTTGTTGCATAGTCTCTAGAGTTGTAATATTTAGTAACTATAAAATGTTCCATCAACATAGACTATAATGTATTTTATATCTTGATATATATTTTTATCATTTCCATTTTCTCCCTGTAACTACATATGCTTTTATTTTTGTCTTTTGAGTCATTTCTTTAGAATATATTTCTAGAATATATTCTTTAGAATATATTTCTTTAGAATACAATTCTAGAATATAGAATATATTTCTATATTTCTAGTATAAGATTTCTAGGCCAAAAATATAGACATTTTTCTGGCTCTTTTTATTTACTATCCAATTATTGCTTTTCAAAAGGATGGAACTGGTTTACACATCTCTAATATATACACA